TAGATCATTGCAGTGTTCTTCCCGTGTACAAAGATGACCGCATCATCGGCATACATTTGCACATTCAACTCAGGACATACATTAGGCAAGTCATTAATGTACAGTGAAAACAGTAATGGTCCAAGAATGGAACCTTGTGGAACCCCAACAGGGTTGACCAGGTGGGGGATTTGGTACCTTGATAAGTAAGACTTAACCCACTGTATTGAATCTGCCGAAAAATTGAAATAAGTCAGCTTTGTAAGGAGCACTTGGTGGTCAACAGTGTCAAAAGCCTTCCAGAGATCAAGGAATACTTCACCATATGGGCTCGTGTCCAACATACATTTAACCTTTTCCACAAAGACACAGTTAGCTGTCTCAGTATAATACCCCTTTATAAGTAAAGGTTCATATATATATTGTCTGCATGATTTATATATTGATTTCTAGTATTTGTTTGCTGGTTGGATACATACATGTGGCATATAACGAAATGATATATGGAATCTGTTTCTCCGACAGGAGAAATAGTTTCAAAAAAATCTCCCAAGTTGGGATCAATAAAGTATATCTTATCTTATCTTATTTGTAATTACTTTATATTTGACTCATTACTTTCACACAGCATTGAATAAAAAAACAATGATTATTATAAAATAATTTATTTATAAAAACATACATTTCAAATATAAAGTTTTACAGGGGAAAAAAAGTAGTTTGTGTCTCAAAATCAGTTAAACTGAAACTGGTATACAAATACCATTCTTTTGAAAGACTTAACAGATACATCTACGTATTTCATACATTTAAGTTCCATCTGTGTCTTTTTCTCTGGATTATTAGACTTAGTTGACAAGAGTTACTTCGGTAAACTCATTGTTGTTATGTTCTTCCTCAGTACGCTTTTGCTCAGGTGTGTAGTCTTCAAATTGTGTCTTGTTATTTTCCGCTTCTGATTCCTTGCTTGTAACCTTGTTTCCTTCAGATCTCTCAAGCTCCAGCCTTATGGGATTAGTTTTGTTTCATAAAGATAAAGCAACACTTTCTCAGAATCAAGCAAAACTAAGAGTTTAAAGGTAGGGTATGTAAGTTTGAGAAACCGGCTCGAGATCGCGAGAATTTGAAAATACACGATCGGAGAAAATCTACCACTTCCTTACAGAGCCCCTCCTCCAACACACACGAACGCGCACATGATCAATGAGGGCACGAGATAACTTTGTGCAGAGATGGAAGGCTGACAGGCAGGTAGGCCATCCAGTTATTTTAGCCGGGCCGGCTAAAATAATTGGTCGTGCTTTTTACAGCGCTATACGGCTTCCACAGATGACATTTTTTAATGTATTTATTGTCAAAGCACTTAAGATATGCATTGCTATCGGGATGTTAAGAGCATTACATGGAATATAACAAAAAGTGTATCTTGAGCCGGTTTCTCAAACTTCAAGCAAAATTAATTTTATTTAAAAAATAAAAATATAAGTTGCAAACAAATCATTTGTGTAATCATGTAAACTATAAGTCTTTTTCTTTGTTTTAACATATGTTTTTTTTGTCTTTGCTTCTTTCTCAATGATCAGACTTTTGCTCTCGCTGCAGCTCTTCTCGTTTGCGCTCCCTCATTTTTTGTTTTCGATTTTGATGCAAACGTCCCAGGTGGACAGGACTTTCAGGGGTGAGAAACAAAACTAAATCCCATTCAGCCTCAGTTGCTCTTTCTCGTTCAATATCACCGCGTCCTCAAGAGCCTTCCTCTGCTCCTTGTTCTCTTTCCTCTCTTTCTCAGCCTTCTCCATTTTTTCTTGCTTCTTCATCTTCCAGAAGTAGGACAGGTTTTTCTCGGGGTAGTTGACTTTAGCCAGAGGCAGCTTGTAGATCTTCTTGGTCTCCGTGGTTAAAAGGAGGAAAGTGAGGGCAGAGAGACAGAAAGGCCAAGTGCAGGATGGAAGACCAAACTGTAGATGACAAAAACATCACATTGCATTTCGTAACTTGCATTTATTATTTGCTGATATGAATAGGAGTGAGAGAAAATGTTTACTTACGGTGGACATGATATTGGCAATGGCTGAGCCGAGGTACGCACAGAAAAAAGCTGCAGAGCAGAAAAAGAGAGATACAAGTTGGAAATAAGAATCCCAAATGTGTGGTCGCTCTCTGCCAATGTTGCATATCATGTCATAATTTGTCTGGATACATTTTTTTGTAGTGTGCATTTATCTTTCAAGTGTCTACTTACCACAAGTGATGGCAAGCAGATGCACCTGCCAGGTTAGAGCGTAAAACATTCCTCCGACAGCAATGCAAGCCAGCACACAGTTGTATCCCCAGAGGCCAAAGTAAATGTCTCCAAAAGGAGCTGCCAGAGCCAAGCCTACAAAATGTTGAATCAAAGCCGTCAAGGGAGTGTCAGATTCAGTTTGAGATTAGATGATTTTTTTATAAATAATGACCCTCCTGGTTATTTTGCACCAATTTTGAGGGCGTCATCTTGGAGTTGCAACATATTGACTGTGGCTTGAATTCATTCTTTAAGCGTGTACTGTAAGGAAGCAAAAACACTTGATAATAATATGTAGCACAGATTGACTTTCACATTTGGCCGCCTTTTGAAGTAATGTCCGGAGCTCTCACCTGAAACCATGCCCACGGCAGATCCCAGAACAGCATGAGCACATGTGATAGGGGAGGAGATGAAGAGTGACACGATGAAGATTCCTCCCGTCCACGGGTTGTCACAGCCGTACACCTGGCCTACTCCCACGGGCACCGACATGAACAGCTAGAGAGGAACAGACAGAACATAGCTGTAGATCCACCATGATTTACATCGCACAGATTGTTCCAATCATGTTGCCTCATTAAACCTCTTCGGTGTGACGACTCTGATTCATCTGTCAGCATTGACAACCACATCATTTACACTTATGTAATGAGAATTATACATGGCTCCTATAGAACATGTCCAAACGACAACTTACAGGAAAGGTTTTACGATTGAGCTAATGAATCTGTCACATCTGCATTACACAAGGGTTGAAATATCATGAGAACAAAGGTAAAAGCTGTACACAGTGTTCCAGCACAGGTAGAGGAATCTTAAAGTGGACCTATCATGCTATATTTGAATAATATAGTGTAGGTAGGACCATACCTATATAAGGCATATTTATACGTTTTATTTTTCAAAATACCAAACACAGATCATGCATTTTAGCCATTCCTCATTTCGCTCAATTTAACACTGTCTTTTCATGAGCTGATTCTGTGAGAACAGCACCATCTACAGGCCTGGCATATGTACTACAGCGTCTCCAGCGCTTTCGAACGGCAATGTCCGTGGCTGTCTCCTCCTGATTGGTGGAGTTGGCCCAATAGCCGTAGCGCCACTTCTGTGACATCATAGAAGTGTTCAAATCTGGATCAGTCTGTATCAGATCCGTTGCAGCCCCTTTTTAAGGGATTTGGGTATGGAGGAAAATAGAGAGGGTTGTGTTTTCTGACACTTGGTGAGTTCCCTAGAACACCGGGGACACATGTTCATGTATAAAAGACGTACAAAAGTGCATTTTGCATGATAGGTCACCTTTAAGTGATCTATAGGAACATATCCTGCCATGGCACTGACCTTGGCTACGTCAATCTCAGCCCAGGTGATGTTGGCCAGCTCTGAGCGCGGCTGAATGAGTATTTGGGGGAAGTAGTGGTTGTAGTGTCCCGTGGCGACCATGTGGAGACACACCAGGATGTTGAAGGGCAGGGTGAACACTGGCAGGTCCCAGCGACTGTTGATCGATGCTATGGCACTGGACACAATCGGGCTAAAACACAAGGATGCAACATCACTAGTATTAGATTTATAAGAATGTGAGTTTGTATCTCTTCATGATTATAGTCGATTATGCACATTTTGAGCATGACTTTGATACGGTTATCTCCAACATAATGAAAACATGATGTGTTTTGGTTAATTGATCTGCTTTTGAACGTTTACCTCCTATTTCTCATGATACAAATCTTTTGGTCAAAAGTCAATCTAGTGGCTTACCACATCATGGACATGAAGATGTTGGGTAGCAGGAGCCACCAGTACCAGTCTCCTTTGTGGGAGAACACAGCCATCAGCAGACCCACCAGGATACCATTGTAACCGTACAGCCCTGCAGCTATGGACCCCCTAAATAAAAAGTTATTTAAAAAAATAAGTTGCTGTACAAAAAATATTCCTGTCGTGGTGATTAATAGACATTATTTTCTGTAGTATTAGTTTGTTCTAACCTGTTCTGTTGCAGAATAAGGGCAGAGATGGTGGCAAACAGCGTGCCCACAAAGCCATTCAGGGCCCACCAGTAGTTCTGCAGGATGAGGCCTGCAAAAATGATGAGGCCGCTCAAAGGGTTGTTGACGAACATCACCTGAGCAGCTCCACGCAAAACCCAGTCCAGCAGCTTCAGCAGGAAGAACTGTTCTGGAAGACGGAAAGAGAGGGACGGAGAGCGTTGACATTTTCCTAGAGCTGCTCAATGGGCTTCCTTCAAGGGAATGTGCAGAATACTGTGACTCTGACAGTGACTCTGACAGTGACTCTGACATTAATAGTGACAGCAGGTATTTGTTCAAAGCCACAGAAGCCATATTGCATGGATAACTGGTTCATCCTCGAAAAAAACCTATTGTAGCCTTCCAAGGGACCATGTTACACACTGTTGATCTTTGAAACTCATAGACTTACTTGCCCTAATTGTGTGTGGATATATATAAAAAACCACATCCCAGCTAGCAGGGAACATTCTCACAACTTTGGCTAACATTACCTACAGGTTCTTATAAGGTTTTAAAGAAACGTTTTAATCTGATGTTCAAAGAACCTTTTTAGGATGTTTATTTTTCAAATAATGTTCCTATAAGGTTTAAGGTTAACTAAGACATAACGTTTTAACTGCAACATTCAGAGGATGTTTTGAGGATGTTATTGAGGCCTGAGATGAAAGAAAGTTTTTTTATAGAATGTTCCTTTAATGTGATATGTTAACAAAGGTGGAACGTTTTGCCTGCAACATTCTAAGGATGTGTTTTGGACGTTGTTGGGTAACACATTAAAGATGTTCTTTATAAAACGTTCCCTCAATGTTACATGATAACCAAAGAAGAACATTTTGAAAGCAACATTTGGATAATGTTTTCAGGAGGTTATTATTTTTTTATAAAATGTTCCTGTGATGCGAAATATTAACAGGGTCATGGTCAACGTCAGATTTATTTGTAGTGCGCTTTAAAAAACAAA